AATGCACACTTAGCTTTTTTGACAAATAATGGGAGATAACAAGGAAGATGTTCCCCGGCACGTACCTTTATTTTAATTCACCCTTATATTGATCTAAAGGAGCTCTATTACACGCCACATTTTATCTTCAAAAAAGTTAATTGACGTTGCGCAGTTGGTAAAGACTGAGAGAGTCATGAATGTAAATTTGAATCCGATTTCTGGCAACTACTTGAAAAGCAATTATGCTAATCATATAGCATTTGCAAGTACCAAGTGCAAGTTTCACTTTCTGTTACCCATCTACAATTAAAGTTCAATGTACATCCTCTCTGTAATTGTCTGGCCATGTCTAAGAGTGCCCTTGGGGATAAGACTCGTCTTTTTTTATCTTCAAAAAACTAATTAAAATTGTCAACGAGAGCTATCCAATTTCTTTTTATTTACTTGCATGTACCCATTAATAAAGGTAGTTTTTGATGAGTTAGATGAAGTTTATAGCTTAAATTATCAGTTTTCAAAAAAAAAAAGCTTAACTTATCAAAGAGAGTGTCCCCACCATTTATTTATTTATTTTAATAAACGTGATCTTGTCGGTGGGCATTGTTTAATTGTTTGAGCAAGAGATGCCAAAGAAAATTAACCTAAATTTGATCCTCGGCAACTAACTGCGCTCATAAGCAAATATGCTAAATAATCATAAGCCTTGTGTAAGTATCAAGACAAGTTCCACCATTGGTTAGCCACTCTCTAATTAAATTAAAACTCAACTTACCACTTATCAAGTGATTGTCCAACCAATTTTGAGGGAGCTCTTGAGGATATGACTCATCCTTTACTTGATGAATGTGATCCTCTATTCCTACTTATTGCTGTTAAAGAGATTGATTAGGTATATATTCGAGTTTGATTTCTTCAAATTCAGGTTAGGATTATGATCGATCCTGTGATTTTGAAGTTTCATTATATTATTCAAAAACTAATTATCTTTTTTGGGTATTTTCTTCCGTGAGATTCCATCTCAGGCACCTAGGTATTTTCTTTTTTGGGTATAAAAATGTTAAATTTATTATTGGTGATAAATCTTGATAAATTAATACACCATACAACTATTTTTCTTTATTCGAGGGTTTATTCTATTAATCTTTCTATCTGTAAATGATCTTCTGATTTGACTTTTTACGGTCTTCAATGTAGCAATTTGACCACTAATATCTACATTTATGCAAAGATATATTTATGAAAATTTAATATTTCAAAATTATGTTTCATAATTAAGAAAACTATTGACATTATATTTATATTGAAACACAACACAACATAATTTTTTTCATATATTGAAGTCAAAGTTTACTAACAAGAAGAGTATTTAGAAGAAAAATATTTTGACATTTACAAATTCTTTGGTAGTTCTTAGGTTTATACTTATTTTATATATGAACTTTAATATACATATGTATTGGGTTTTGAAAAACAAGAATTCAGACTATGCAGCGTGTCTAACAACCGTTGTCTCTTAGTCTTCGTTCTCTAAAAGCATTGTGTGCTTGATCAAGGAACTTAAAAACTACATTTGTTTGTGTTTCTTCTATAGGTCGAGACAACATGAAGCGATAGTGGAGTAGAGAAATCGGTCCAAAAGGAGAAGAATAAACTCATCGCTCGATCTTGCTCTAATCACAAACCTCTCGTCAAAAGAAAAACTCACCAAACATACTCTCAAGCTCGTTTATCATGCAACAAAGATCTGAATCTCTTCATATAGCCGCCATTCACACGAAACCGCTAGCTTTTGCCAATCTAATTTAGTGCTAGTGATTTAAGCTTTTCATCGTTATCGATAATTAGCTTGTAGGGAAATAATGCGAGTAATAGAAAATTACTAAACTATTCTAGTTTTATATATTATGTTTTACTACATTTAAGCTCTATTTTTTTCCGATTAGAACAGAGTTGGATGTTGGAAGAAACTAGAAGGAGTTGGAAGAAACTGGAAGAAGTTGGAAAAAAATGAATGCACTTGAAAAAAACTGGAAGAATTAGGAAAAAACTTGAAGGAGTTAGAAGAAGCTGAAAGTAGTTGGAAAATGTGGAAGGAGTTGGAAAAAACAAGGACTTAGAAGAAACAAAAAGTAGTTGTAAAATTTTTCAAAGAGTTTAAAAAAATAAAAAAATTAAAATAATAATTTTATTTTATAAAATTCATATTTTTAAATTATATACTCTACCTTAAAAAATTTTAATCTCTTTTTATTTTTCTATGCCATTATTTTATCCCATATCATATTTGTAATTTTTTTTACTCACACTTTTTTCTTTATTTTTAAAAATCAATATCAATCATATAATATTTCTTTTTTTATAGTTGTATTTCACTAATCTATGTAACAAAAATAAGAAGACAAATTAAACAATACTTTTTACTAATCTTAGTTGAAAGAAAAACTGGACTTAAATAATATAACGATATCTCGTTTAAAAAAATAATAGATCACATTTTATGTATCAAAATAACTACAAAAATGACCCGAGACTAATATTATTAATTTTGCATTAACAATTAATGCTTTAGTATGATTCATATTTTTTATTTAATTATAAAAAATGATTTAGATTGGCCAAATACACTAACCGTTTTTATTTCAAAAACCAATCCCGCAAATAAAGTTATAATTCAACCATATTTGAGTAAAAGTGTATCACACCCTATTATAAAAACAACACTAATAATAATTTAAAACTTTATTTGTTTTAAAATAATGAGAGCAAAACAAAGAAGAAGCATAAAAAGGCTTCAATTCATTCCCGTAAAAACATTTAGTATTTTGTTTTTCGCACGTCTCAAGCGTATTTTTTTACTTTACTAATTTTATTATTTTATAAAACTCAAATGGAGAATTTTAATACAACAGAGGTAGTTTTTAATATAATCGGGCATATGCATATTTAAAAAAAATAAAAATATGAGTTTTACACAATTTTTTATTCGTATATTAAATTAGTGTATGAACATTTAGTTTTTCATATTCTTAAAACATGTACGTTATAAAAATTATTAGTGTATGCACATTTAAAAGTAATGTAATGCTAGCTTACTTAAAAAATTCAGTAACAATTATTTGGTCAGAATTTTAAAACATTGACAAGAACTCATTTCAAAAAGCATATTTAACAAAAATTCAAAATCACAAAGGAAATTATAAAATATTTAATTGAATATTTTAATAACTTACGTAACTCTATAATGATAATTAAAACTTGTGTCAAAGACACAATTTTTTAATACATTGTGACATTTAATCAATTTTTTTATTTTATTTATAAAATAATAATAATAATAATAATAATAATAATATGAAAAAAACCCAAATAATTTTTTTAAAGTCATTGTGGAAGAAGTTGGAACAAACTAGAAGGGGTTGGAAGAAACTAGAAGGAGTTGGAAAAACTAGAAACAACTGGAAAAACTGGAAGAAGTTAGAACAAATTGGAAGGAGTTGGAAGAAACTGGAAGGAGTTGAAAGAAACTGGAAGGGGTTGGAACAAAATGGAAGGAGTTCGAACAAACTGGAAGGAGTTGGAACAAATTGGAAGGAATTAGACGAAACTGGAAGGAGTTGAAAAAAATTGGAAGGAGTTGGAAAATATTGGATGTTAAGAATTAACGCTCAAAAGAACACAACCTTACTTTTCCTATTTTATTTACTATTCACACTTGAGTTAAAAATCTCCATGTATTCCCTATTTATATTATACCTGGGTTTAGAACCTTCATTATTTAATAAGAGTGAGTTTTTTTCGAGATGTTCGGACACAAAGTTTTAAAAAAATGAGTCATGATAGTAGTACACCAAAATGGGGTACCCCATTTGTACACTAGACAAACATAGATACTTAGTGCCTGTGATCACATACACTAAGTGTCTATGTTTGCATAGTGTACAAATGAGATACCCCATTTTGGTGTACCCTAGATTTATTCAAAAAAAGATGTGTAGTGCCTGTCCCCAATGTAGCCCTCTCTTATATGGTTAAGTTGATGGTGGGATCTACATGCATGCTGCCGCCCCCCNCTTCTCTTCTTTCTCTCCACTTATATTTTCCACCTCTCGCTCTCCCCCTTTGCTAAAGAACAAATAAAACACCATCAAATGTATATGAAGATCTTAGCTAAGAAAAAAAGGTGAGCGAGCAAGATGGAGAAGCAGGGTACATGCATTACGACCTCATGTGTATACATAAATTAGGCATGAGGAGTTGACTTTATGTATGAGGTCGTGTTTCATGTGCCCTGTTTCTCCACCTTGATCACTCTATCTTATGCGCACACTGAAAACTTATTTATTAGAAAGAAAGGTAAGTGAGCAGGATGGAGAAGCAGGGCACGTGCATTACTAACTCTAATACATATATATAAGCCATTATAAATCCTACCTTAGCTTAGCTTATTGCTAAGCTAGCTTGGGGAATTGGCTCTACACATGAGTTGGTATTTCACGTGCCATGTTTCTCCATCTTGACCGCTTTATCTTATCACCATCCTTGATTATATGAATCTCAAACCCCAGCTCCGATCCATTTTAGATCTTCTTCATGACAGGTATATTTTGAAATTATATACGGAGTATAATAAAAAAAGATCTTTGATGTGATTTATTCATAGAAGCCATGTTTTTAAAAATCTTTTTGAGGATATATAATGGTTATGGCTAATTAAAGCATAGATGAATTATTTGTTATTACTAATAAGTACTGATGTTATGTTTTACCGAGTAATCAAGTGTGTAGTTGTTAGCTAAAGTCAAAAGTGATTAGGTTTCTTTTAAAGGTTAATTATGTGTTAGGAATGCGGGATTATATAATCAACTACTCCAAACTTAATTTAGTTAGTTGGAACGCAAACCAAATCTAACTCTCATTATTGAGCAGAAAAGATAAGAGAATATGTAGACATTTACACAAATACTTATAAATAAATAACTTTGGTGTTACTTTCCATTTTTGCCATTACTTTACTTTAGGGTAGGATATGATGTGGTGAATAGATTAATAGTTAATAGATATGATGTGATTTGTATGCTAAAAATTACTGTTGCATTTCACGATTATCTTTTGGCTGGAGGTTAGTTTGAGAACGAATGGATCAGAGGAAGAGCTAAATAGATTATACTCCGTATGTAATTTCTTGTAACTTGATCTTGTTATAAAACTGTTAATCAATTTTTTTCTTCTTAATTATCTGCTTTAATTTTCAAGAAAATGTAAACAAAAGAAACTAGTGTACTCCTATATGTAATATTCACTAACAAGGAAGCTGTTTCAGTTTAGGTTATTTTTGGTGTGTTGGGTCATCTTTGTATATAGAAGTTTTCTCACCATGGCCACAACTCAAGCAGTTTGCATGGAACTGATCCTTTGTTTGTTGCTTCTGAACTGCAATTGGAAGAAAGGGACATCACATCACAGCAGAGAGTTTTAATTTTTTCTTTTGTGTTGGCAGTGACTATCTCTGTGTTGGAATATTCTTGTCTCTTTTTTTTTTTTTTTAAAAAGCCATTGTTTTTATTTTTGTTTTTATTATAATTATTTCCTTCTCTGCTTCTTATGTAATTTGTTTTTTCACACAAGAAAGAAATTGTTTGCCTAAAAAGAGTTAAAAGTGATGAATAGACATTTCACCGACTTTGAGCTTTGGTAGCTTCAATTATTGTTGTCTAGCTTTGCATGTTTAGATGGGAGAGTGAAAACTTCACATTTCCCTTTCAGTTGATTGGATGAAGTGTTAAAATGGCAATGGGCTCACCCCTATGCACCAAGTCTTGACAACCCTTTGCATTTTTTTTTTTTGTTTTTTTTGAAATGGTGCTTGCAAGTTGTCATCACACTCTGCTGCCCACACTTTTTCAATCTCATTATGAAAATTTCAAATTTGATTTAAAAAAAACTAAATTTGGCACAAAACACTATTGATGCAATACTTTTAAAAGCTTAAGGACCATTGGTGCAATTTTTATAGTTCATGAATAATATGTACGAGTACAATTTTTGAAAAGTTCGACGGTAAATGATGCAAAAAAAACTCTTTTTTGAAATTCTCAAATGATGAGATTACAAAGCTAACCACTCTGTATGTAGGGCAATTTATATGATTTTATTTTCAAAATAAAGTAATTGGACAACTTATCCCTGAAATGAGGCACTAACACACACCCTTTACTAATGAATACAAAGATTCTATGCAGAAAAAGTGACTCACCATTCTACCCTCACATGAAAAGATAAGCCAGCAATACTCAATCTCATGATGTAAGGGTATGGAGGTAGTTTACAATGAACTTTGTACACTATGGAAGTAATGATTTGGCAAACAATCATTGCTTACTAAGAACCCATGATTTTGACAGTCCCAAATGTTGTTCTCAGTGGCCAATGTGACAAGAAATTGATATGAAAGATTAGTTGACTTTATACATGGCTGGGAAGTGTACAAAATATGTCATATTCCTTGGCTGGTCAGGAATGGAGATATGAAAGTTCTCAACAGATGAATCAAAAGGGGATGCCGTGTTTACGAAGCTGATTAGAAACAGATATATTTGGCAGTGTCTGCTTCAGGAATATCAACAAGTCCTCATCATTGTAACCAAATCAAAACTGCAGCATTGAAAGTTCACAGGGTACAAATTTACGTATAAGCCCCTCCAACGTGTTCGATTGAGGAACGAAACCCTTGTTCAGCATATCATGTAACATCTCACAGGCTTCACCAGTCTCACCATTTCTAAGCAGATTTTTTATTTGAAACTCGTACGTTCGACAATTCATTTGCACACCCTTTAGTCTCATTTGGCCAAGAACTTCCCTTGCTTCGTTTAACATCCCATTCCCACACAAGGTCTCTAAGAGTGTATTGTAAGTGTTAAAATCAGGCCTGCAACCTACCTCTTCCATGGATGCAAGCATCTTTATTGCCTCGTCTACCTTATTCTGCTTGCACAAACCATTTATATAGATGGTGAAAGTAGACAAAGTTGGGACCAAACCCAACACAAGCAATTCGTCGAACAGCTTATCCACCTTCTCATAGTTGCCTTCCAAGACTAACACTTCCAGGACCAAGTTATAGCATTTCATATCAGGCATTATTCCATCAATTTGCATTATTTTCAAAACTTTTGCAGCTTCTTTTCCTTTACCCTTCTTCCCCAGAAACCTCATTGCATAGTAAAAATCCAATCTTTTTGGGCTAACCCCCAACTTCTTTGTTTCTTCCAGGAAACCCACAATGTCAAACTCATCACAGCCATTTTGTTCACACATTGCTGATAGTATCAATGAGCATAACTTCCCATCGGTATCGACCCCGCATTCGACCAAGTAATAAAATATCTCGACAGCGTAATTAACTTTCCCGGTCTCACAAAGAGCCCTAATTAACAACCCATAAGAAGATCCATCAATTTGGACATTCATCAACTCACTCTTTTTCAAGATTTCAGGTATGTTCTTAAGACCCAATTCATTTTTACAGAGAACAGATAGAAGAGCATTCAATGATTTCACAGTTGGGGTACATCTAAACCTGGGAATTCTCAAGAACAAATCAATGGCAGATTCCAATTCATTCACATCACCATAAAACTTAATGAGATAGACAAAAATACCCTCGGGCACCTCAAAGTTGCAAACTTTTTGCAAATGGTCAAGAACTTGAGGGATCAATCCATAGTAGCAGGGGTATCTGGTGATTAACCTCAGGACATAATTGTAAGCACTTGGAGTGGGGTCACATTGGTAGGCCGCAAATAAATCTATGAGGGCTGAAAATGGGTTTATGGTTCCAGGGGATTCAGAAACCCTTTGGATCAGGCTCTGCATCGACAGCTGGTGAGCGAACTTGTCGTGCCACTGTGTTTTGTGCGGAGGTATCGGCCATTTTCTTGTTTTCCTCAGGTAGTAGTTTTTCAATCGGGTTCTTGAAGAGGATGAAAACGAAAGAGATGAATTTTTTGTTCTCAGCTGGCAGATTGGTAGCCTGCTTGCCCGCGACATAGTTCGGAGAATCTAATGAGGTTGGAGCAGAGAGAATTGGTTGTTGGCAACCATTTGGGTACCGGCGCAAAGTCCGAATTTTTCTCGGGTTTGTCAAAGAGTTTAGTTTTTGATAAAGTAGATTTCACAGATCAATTAGTTTTAGGCTTTCTTTGGAAACATCGTTTTCGATTAGCGTTAGCGTTTTGGATAATATTTTAATGATATAGATTAATTCCAAAAACACTAACTCTAAAAACTACCGTCGGATAGCCTTTTCAAAATGCTAACGCTGATGCCAAACGGGACCTTAATATACTTTACGCCGAAGTACTATTTATTTGGATAGTAATAATACTTAAAGTGTTTTTGATAATTTAAAAGTAAATGATATAGATCAAACAGAAAAATAATGGAGTATAATTTTTGAAATGCTTCTTTATTGATCGTGTCTAAGGACTCAATTTTTGAGTAGTAGGCCAACATGCAATTTTGATTATTCATGACTTTTGTTAGTTGTTATTGCATACGAAGTCATGACGGAAAAATTGTTTCCTCTGAAACATGAAAAGAATTCTTTTATCAAAAGGAGTCAAAGCAAGTTTAGGATTACAACTTCATGACCAACTAGTTTCTTTGTCATAACTTTCTCTTGAAGAAAGTACTTCTCTAGTCTTGTCACTATCAATCGTATATCAATGAACAAACTCATGGATTGATCGATATATCTAAAAGAAACATAATTAGGGTATTGACCTTCAATGTAAGTACATGCTATGAAACACCGGAAGCTTTAATACAATTCAAAAATTCAGGTGAATGTAAATCCGACAAACGATCCACATTTGAGATCAACTTACAACTACTATCGGAGTTGAGGTAAGTTTTAGACTACTCAATCTTATTTTTAAATGTCATGTAATCATTAAATCATCAACAACATCGAATGTTAGTGCTAGAATAACAATGTAGTGCAAGTAGGGTGTACTATTGGCTATATTTTTAAAATCGTGGTTTGTCGATTGCACGCACAATTACCTCGATTGGACCATTAAAATATTTCAAAAGAATATCATTTGAGATAATAATTTTTGCACGCCCATCTTATGTTTCTCCTACAACTTTATCTCCAATATTCGTAATCCATTCCGCAAATTTAACCAAACTATCATAGTTTTCCTCCTGCACCGTAGATTACAATCTCATGTTCACTGTCAAATGTAAATCTGTACAATGTTGCCACAAATAACATGATTTAATTGTCGTATTAATAATATCTTGTTTGGTTCCCTTGAGAATTACAAGTAAGATTAGACAAAAATCATCACCAAGAACAATCATTTTTCCCACCAATGGTTGCTTGTCATTTACAGTATTAATCAAATGCATAATGTCACGCAAGCTCAAATCCAATGCCTCAAAGCAATGTTTTTTGGTCATTGGTGCTTCATCCCAATTGATAAGTTGCGTAAGAATTAATAATTCAGCTAAGAGACTACCTTGCTTGATATTGCATGTGGAACTCTCATATGGATTTAATGAGATAGAAAAACTTAAATGTGTTGGTATTCCTCCCGACAATAATTAGGATGCAGTACCACTTGATGAAACATTTAACATTACATCTCTTTTTGAGTGTAAATACGTAAATAGAGTTTTCTAAACAAACATTTTCTTAGTTCCTATATAACCGTATCAGAAGAAAAATTTAATTTACAGTTCTTACTCTCTAACGATGGCATTACATTATCATACGTTGGACTGCACGTTGCTTATTATTCAACTTCATCGCCAAACGTTGATGCTCATGACCTAAAATGAAGTGATCGTACTGCAAATCTCAAAGATCAATCTATTATGCGCGACATATGCATCATTAAAATTTGGAAACGACATTTCAACATAATCCCAAAAATTGTTACCACGCACTCTCAACCATGTCACATTTTTTACTAAGGCTTACTTTTGCAATTCATTTTCACTCAACAGTAATTCTTGAAAATTATATTCATATCAGAAGTAAAAATTTTAATGTTTAAGAAAAAATAACTATTTGAATCTAAATGAAGAATGAAACATTAAATTTAACCTGGATGGTTAAGCATACGTCTCTGACAATAGAATATTGTTGACTTTATACTTTAAACATTCATCCTATACATATCTAGGCTTAGACATTGACTCGCTTGCAAGTAAGGTTACCAACAAATTTCTTCATTATCCTGATGCCCAATGACTGGCTTCCTTGAATGCATCAAGATACTCATTACCATCATCCAACAACCCAAGTGCATAAAAGGAATCACGATACGTTTTATGTACATAACAGTCAAACTTCCGTATAGTTTGTTGGACCAATATGTAGAGCCCAATATGCGTATCCGAGTCAAAGTTTTGGTGGACCGAGCCCACGTCAAGAGGTGACCCATGGACCAAACAGGTGGATTAGCCTGCTTGGCCAAGTGCCGTACACATGATTGATTGAGCAAGAGGTGTACACTTGATTGGCGGGTCATCACGTAGTTGCGTCTTACAATTTTTGATTTGATTGGGTGGAAACAGTTCTTGAGTTTTTCTACTTTTTTTGTATATGGTAGGATCATTGTAAACTCTAATTATTTTTATAAAATGTAAGACTTCCTTTTTAACTTTCGAGGTTTTTCACTTTTTTGAAGTTTTTTAATCTTTGACTTATTAAATCCTTTAAGAAACCAATTTTTTTATAAATAAACTAAGGGTATGTTTAATGAGCTAAACTGACATGTGGTTTTACATCTCCGGCATCGAGTTTTCAAAAATAAGTTTTGGTGAAAAAGAATTAGAGCTTTCAAATCTAGAGATATCCGAACTCTTTGAAAATCCCTTATTTGCATATCTGTAGCAATATTGCATTATTAAGAGTTGATTTAGTCGATATTACTCGTGGTATTATATGTTAAAAAAGTGGGAGAGGTAACACATTGTGTAGCAGTGTTACACATAACGATATACGAATGAGCGCGAAGAAATTTAATAGACTAAACAAATCGCGTGATCGCTTTCAAATTAAAGTTATTTTGGGGTATGCCAAAATAGTTCAATCAAATAAGACATTGGTATCTAAAACGAGTATGAAAGTTCTATTGTCTCCCAAACATACCCTGCACGTACTCCATATATATAGAGCGCAAACTGATCAAACTCATCTGTTGATGAAACATCACAACTTTAGAGAGAACATTATGGGTCTTATGGTAATGGATAACTATTACGTTTCAACGGGTTTCTACGCGAATCATTGCATCTTATCGTGAAACATTCAATGTTAAGTAAAAATTTGAATGTATCTAGTCGTTTAGTAAAGAATGTTGGAGATAAACATTACACTCGATGTATAGTTTTATACATTCGAATGTACATAACTTGAACTCCGTTTATGAAAATTCAAATGATTTCCATAAAGCAACTATGTGCAAAACAAATTTTTCCTTAACTTCAGCGAGAGGCTCTTCCCCTTGGACCCGCTACGAAATTTAAAATATCATTGAACGAGTGTGTACTCTGCACCACCCAACTCGTTGACAATGCCTATTAAAATTTCATTCTTTTCACATCTCTCTTTGCAACCCATATCATTCGCCCGTTGCTGCCAGACAATCAATGCCATCCTAGGATAGGAGCAGCCGCCGTCCACACGCGGAATTTGCAACCCAATTCGCCATCATCTAATCCGGAACTCAAATCTCCGATGGAGCCAAAATTTCGCCATTTTTTGGATTTGGGGTGTGATGGAATAAATCAAAATGGATCTCTAAATTGTCTGCGCTTCTTTAATTAATGAAGTAGCAGTTAGTCAAGCAATGCAACTGTCGATGTTGAGCCGGGAGTCTCTTTGGAAACAGCCTATCTACTTTCGAGTAGGGGTAAGGTTTGCGTACACACACCCTCCACAGACCCTACTCTTGTGGGATTTAACTGGGTTGTTGTTGTTGTTGAATGTTGAGACAACCATCGCCATCGCCGGTCAAGAACCTGGGTTTCAAACCATAAGCGGAAGCCGCGTTGTTTAGGTTGCCAATCGTCGGTTACATCTTCATCGTCCTTTAATCCAATTTAGAATCTTGTTTCATTTTTTACACCGTTCTGTTTCAATTTGACGAGTTTTGTCCGTTTTCATTCTTTTTCTTTTCTCACCAAATAACTTGACTTTAGGTTTGGTTCAATTCGGTCGAAATCTCTCTAAATAATTTCATTTCAAAAATTAAAATTCAATATTTTTCTCAATGTCAAAATTTAATATTTTTTCCCATTGTCAAAATTCATATCATACTAATTTTTCAAGGCAAATTCTATGGTGGTCTAAAGTTCACTATGGACCTACATATAAGTAAAATAAGAAATTCTTTACTATTTAAATAAGTATTTGTTTTTAAATAAAAAATAAAAAAAATTACTCCGTATATGAGAAGATTTATAAAAATGATAACCAGTCATTATGCACCAAAGAATTACTCTTTTTTTTTTCAAAACTCATGAAATGGGTGTAAGAATTGGACTGAAATCGGACGGGACGGGCACGCCACCCTACCCGACTTCTCAAGATTCTACCTCCAACACCGTCGGATACCCAGTACCACTACTCCGTAGTCCGTAGTTCGGAAGAGGAATCCACCCGGACCGGTACCATGTCAGTCCACACCTCATCCTGACTATCCATTCCCATCTACTCCCTCTGTCCCAAATTATAATACCTGTTTACTATTCACAGGGTCAAACTTCATTCACTTTCTTTTATTTTTTAATTCTATGCCATTTGGCTCGGGAACCGAGGTAGTATCATTTTTCTTACTCCGGTATTTGCATAGTGATGATGGCCGGGTCAAGCATCCCTTACCCGCCACAGCCGGTGGCTACGGCGCCGGTCATCGGCCCCCAATTCGTCGTTCCGTACACGGTGGATCTGGCTGTGGTGAGGGAGGTGCTGACCCTCCAAGAAGGCAAATTCAAAGTGGTCGACGTGAACGAGAACGTTATGTTCAGGGTCAAAAGCAAGCTCCTCAGCCTTCGCGATCGCCGGATCTTGCTCGACGCCGCCGGTAATCCCATCGTCACTTTCCAACAAAAGGTGAGTTGTGCTCAATTGCAGAGCTAGGGGTCACCTGACCCGGCCTGCCCCATGTTCTTTACCTAATTCATCTGTTTTGAGAAGAGATTGAGAATGCCATTCAAATTCATTTAGAAACAAGAGAAATAATTTAAATCAAGCAGTTTCTTTTTGGAAGCTGTAAAGATAATCTCTTTATCTTTCTATAACAGAAGCATACAAGTATAAGGGAAATGAATTATTTGAACAAATTCTTGTTATCTAGAAATGAATTTGAAATTTATTTGGGAATAAGAGAAAATAGCTTAAATCAAACGAATTCGATCTTTAGCTTTCTTTAATAGAAATATAGAAGTAAAATGAGTTTGAACAAATACCTAAAAATAATTTATTGGGTTTCAACCAACCTTAGTCCTTAATCAGGAATGATTGTCAACAAGGTTTTATGATCAGAGAAGTTCGGTTTGATTTCGGTTTCGTTTTGCCAGCGAATTAGGCTTCTAATGTTTTAGCAAGAACTTCTGTCGTTTCTCTGCCTGGATCAATGGAATGGGTGATGCACTCATGCACCCACCTTCCTCCTTTTACTTTAGATGTACTTTGGTTTGATCTGAATAACACATAGTATATTAGTGTTACTTCCCTTTTTTTAAGAAGAAAAATCCTATCAATGAAGTGTTCCAAATGAAGTTTTCTCCTATTTTCATTCATTTTGTATTCCCTACAGCATTTTCCGGGCTTCCCAATGAAGTTTTTAGCCAACAGATTGTTTTGCTTGGAAAAATATTCTTCTCTTATTATTTTATCTTTATAATGTATTCTCCGTTTTGGGGTGGATCAGATATTCTCTGCACACAGAAGATGGCAAGCGTTCAGGGGAGAAAGCACAGACCCAAAGGATATGTTGTTCAGCGTGAAGAAGTCTTCTCTTGTACAGCTGAAGACGAAGCTGGACGTGTTCTTAGCGGCCAACACTAAAGAAGATGATTGTGACTTCCACGTGGAGGGGAGCTGGCTTGAAAGATCGTGCACTATATATGCATCAGCAGGAGGAGGAGGAGGTGGAGGGGGTTCGTCGTCCTCAGCCATTGTTGCCCAGATGCACAAGAAACACACAGCCGGGAGCGTACTGGCTGGGAAAGACCGCTTTTGGGTGACGGTCTATCCTAATGTCGATTATGCATTCATCGTTGCCCTTGTTGTCATTCTTGAGGAGATCAACCGGGACAGGTCCGGCGAGGACTAATCCACATTAACCAAGAGTCCTCTCCACTCCAAGAAGGGAAGGAATGACATGGTTATGTATGCGCCGCCCCTCCCAACCTTAATACAACATTCCTCTGTACCTTAATAACCTGAAATTGGTAGCAGATTATCCTCACCAGTTCAGTCCTATAAGTAAGAAGACTGCTCTTTAATGCCATTTGTGAGTTCATTTTTATGGCCATGGCTTACCATCTTATGTGATATAGTATGCACTTTGGTACTTCTAATTCATTTGGCATTTGCCTTATGCTTTATGTAGAGTTGGAAATCACTTGGAATTCGTCTTCTTCCTCTCCTTTTGAAGGGCAACTATGTTTCTCTTTTATTCGTCGTATCGAACCTTGTCATCTCCTTCGAGAACATGGTGGGTGACGCGTTGTGGCTGCCTGGAACTGGTCACCTATGTGCCGGCAAAGCTCGGCATTAGTGGTCGGCTATGAACAGGCAAAGATGACTAGCATTTTGCCTATAGTTTTGAATACGTAAATGTTACTCCGTATAACATTTGAAACATTAAAACTAGTCAAATTATTACATGCACTTAAGATTCACAGTGGACCTTCATAGATGCTAAATAAGCACTTTCAAGTGTCGAAATAAGCATATTTGAAATTTAAAAAAAAATATCTGAGAAGGTTCATGTGGATCCTGGGTCCACCATAGAATCACTCTTAAAACTATGACAAATTCTATAGTGGACCTAAGGTCTTCCATGGACCTACATATGAGCAAAGTAAGTATTTTTTTATTATTTAAATAAGTATTTGTTTTTTTAAATAAAAAAGATTTTTTTATGTGAGAAGGTTCACAAAATTGATATGCATTCAAGGTGCACCAAAGAAGCACTCTAAAAATATATCTTTAAATGAACATAATTACACAGTATATAATTTGCATTATAAATGAAAATATCTTTTTAACAATTTATGGTCAAAGAATATTATAATTTTTCAAAATTATACGTAAAAATGAATGAACGTGATTATTTTTTAAATGCTAATAACTCTATTATAATATTACATCTGTTTCTAAAAGATTATCTCAGTTTGATTTTATTTGTCAAACTGTAGCACCCTTTGACCATGAATTAAATATAGTTTAAATAATTAAAGATTATAAAATTTGATATTTCAAAACTATATTTTAAAATAAACCTAATTTTACTAAATTTATATTATATTAAATTTTATAAAAAGTCTCCAGTTATAGTTCGTTTTACATATTTATAGTCCCTACATATCAAATATCAATAATTTAGTCCCCAATTATTATATTGTTTTCCACGAGTGGTCATTTGTTAACATTTTTTTTAAAAAGCGTGGATAAAATTGTAAATTTACGCTCCTCTCTCTCCTCCATTAATGAAAAAAAGCGTGGATAAAATTGTAAAATATGTAAAACGAACTATAACTGGGGATTTTTTATAGAATTTACTCTTTATATTATAATTAAATATACTTTTTTTATGACTCGCGGTCAAAGAGCACCACAATTTGATAAAAAAATCAAACTGTGACAATCTTGACAATCTTTTAAGAACGGAGGTAGTAGAATATTTGTTCATAATTTTTGTCACCTGCATAGTTACTCTTGTTACATCTAATTTAGAAGAACCAGGTAGATACAGCCAAGAAATCAATGGCCAGGGAAGACCGCGAAAGCCTTCATTCAGAGCCAAACAGAAGAGAAAGACATGGGAATACAAAGAGAATCTTTCGTAGCTTTCCTCGGAACCCAAAAAAAACAAACCTTTTAAAGAAAAGAATGAAACTCTGCAGGATCACAAGACCCAGAGATTAATTACTGTAAGTTTCCAACACAAAGGTCATTATTTTTATTTATTTTCTTTCAAGAAACTCAGAATTGAAAGAAAAAAAAAGAAGAAAAAGATGATATCTTCCATGTCGGCGCCGCCTTCTTCTTCCTCTTGGTTTCTAGCGGCATCATCGGTGGTGATTCGGGTGGAGAAGGCCACGAGTGAGTTCTTGATGGGCCCTGATTGGACCATGAACATTGATATCTGCGACATCATCAATTCCAATCATTGGTACATATTTTTATGAGTATCTCCTTTGATTTTCATTTTTGTGCATTTCATATTCTCCATGTTAATTTGCCTTTTCCATTTTTGTTTCTCTTGTGATTTTTTGCAATGGGTTATTTAGCAATTTGATTATATAATGCAATTACTCATTATGTTGGTTAGTTTCAAATTTTGAATGCTAAAATTGTATTTTTTGGTTAATTTAATATCAAGTTTCAATTTTGTATGAGTATAATTTTGATTTGGTTTTCAGGGTGGCGAAAGAAGTTCTTAGAGCACTGAAGAAAAGGTTACTGAACAAAAATCCCAAAGTGCAACTGCTTTCTTTAACGGTATGTATCTGTCTTTAAAGAAACACTTTTGGTTCTGATTAAGCTGTCCAGTTTCTTGTTTCCGTTTGTACAGAATAGCTTGTTGATATGTAAGTGTTGTTTGGGGTTTATATTGTTCTTCGTCTTTGCCTTTCATTTAGCTTCTGGAGACAATGGTGAAGAACTGCGTTCACGTTATTCACGTCCAAATCGCTGAAAGAAGCATACTGCCGGAGATGGTCAAAATTGTAAAGAAGACGGCAAGTGACATGCCACAAAAAGTTCTTTGAAATTAATGCATACATATGATTTCCTTCTTACCCCATAAATTCAGTCATCTGTTCGAATCTTGGACCGTTTATGCTTCCCTTTTCACAAAAGGTTTCGTCTTTCATTTCTTTGGCACCGTGCAGATGGACACGCGGGTCAGAGATAAGATCCTAGTACTGATAGACTCTTGGCAAGAGGCGTTTGGTGGCCCGGGAGGGAAGTATCCCCAGTACTATTGGGCATATCGAGAACTCAAGGTAAATATATATTGCTTTCAAAATATCCTCCGTAACTTGTGGAAAATAATGTAAATTTTTTTTCGTAAGACTGCAAGTCTACAACCACAAACTTGAGCTTTTTTTGGTTGCGTTGGTTCCTTGCAATGTTTTGTTATTGATCACCAAACTTGTTGCAGAATGCTGGCGTGGGATTTCCTCCACGTTCATGTAATTCTGCCCCAATTTTTACTCCACCGGTGTCTCATCCTACACGAAAACATCTCCAACTAGGATACGAAACGCCTAGTGAGTCTTCTTCATTAGCAGCTCAGACCGAAAATTTGAGGTGATTATAAGTCTTGGAACTGTATTTATTTTTGCCCTAAACCAAAAAATCTATATTCAAAGTAAAACGAAAAAACACAAGATTTAATTAAGCCACATCTGGTTCATATATTACTTTGTATATATTGACATTAGTGTATTAATTGACCTTGAGACAGTTTTCCAACCATAAGTTCAATGAGGAGTGTCTTAAACCTCTTGGCTGAAATGCTGCAAGCTGTGAATCCTGGGGACGGTGCTGTACGTTGTCTCTCTTCTTCCTCGGCCTCCATCTTTTTTTATATTATATCTCCACGCAGAAAACATGACTTTCCCCTGATCAATATAATGCACTTTGGTTATAGGCAACGGCTGTAAAAGATGATGTTGTAGTTGATCTTGTAGAGCGCTGCCGTGCAAATCACAAGAAACTGATGCATATGTTAACCACAACTGGGCAAGTTTCTTCTTCTTCCTCTTTCCTGGTCTTATTATTATTATTTTTCTATATAAAACAACCATTAAATTGATTCGTTCTTTCGTTCCATTAGGGACGAAGATATTCTAGCTCAAGGTCTTGAATTGAATGACGCTCTACAAAGGGTGCTTGCAAAGCATGACGCCATAGCTTCGGGAACCTTCTTCCCCAATCCAGCCGTCACAGAAATCAAACACCAATCAACTGAGGCACAAAGTAATAGTAAGGACGGGGCTGGTCTTCCTAATCTTGAACCAGATAGTGAGGTGGCCCCCCTCGTACCTGTTCCTTCTCTTTTAGGCGAAGAAGATGAAGATGAAGAAGATGACTTTGCACGGCTCGCTCAAAGGTAGAACAATCTCTCTGTTTTTTCCTACTCCGTATTCGGCCTTTCATATTGCTTCGATTCAACTTCTTGTTCTTCCAGGCATACGAAAACGGGGGGCAACGGAGGAGAATCCTCGGACGAACCCCCAAACACGAACAACGCATTGGTTGTTGTGGGTCCCACTCCGGCGCGCACGAAAGAACAAGACATGATCGACCTGCTAAGCATCACCCTGACATCAACCGACCTCCCGCCCGTGTCTCAAACCCAAGACATCATAAACGAGACCCCGGGATCTCAAAACAGCTACGTAGCCACCTGGGCTGCACAACCACAACCTCAACCACAACCACAACCTCAGTTATACTATGAAGTGTTACAGCCGCCGCAGCCGCAGCCGACGGCATATCCACAGTACTATGGGTATGCCACGCCGCAGTATGCCGCAACGCCGGGATATTTTGCGTCTTCATCAAATGCAATACCGGCTTGGGGAAACAACATCTCGGGTACGAACAATTATGGGATGTCGCAAGTCGGGGGTGGTGGCTCGACCTATGCCGGACAAACGCCTTTTGTTCCGTCGTATAGGCTGTTTGAAGATCTGAATGTTCTGGGCCATGGGCAGCAAATGTTTCAGGGGACGACGGCTGGGAACTCGGCTTCTTGTAGTTTGTATGGGGTGAACAACCAAAGCATCATTGGCGGACGCAAATGAAACCATTCAACCCAGAGACCAGCTTATACACACACATACACACATTTTTTGTTTTTGGGGTTTTTTTTTTGCAGTGGAGAAATTTAATTTTCTTTTTTGAACATCAGTGGAGAACTAATTAGTACAAGTAATTTGGTTTAATTGTAGACATGAATTATAAAAGGCACTATATTGTTTTTGTTGATGAACAAATTGGATTCATTAAATGTGGGCCACACATGTCCGGCCTCCGATCCCAAATGTTAAATTCTGAAAATGATGTTTTGTAATAAGGTTTTTTTCTAATTGAATTTCTAATTACCTACGCGATCCTTTATAATTGAAATTTATTCTCGGGTAGTCCTTCGAAATACTTTCACATAAATAATGATAACTAAAGGGTATTTTTATCATTTAAATTTAAAGTATATTCTCAACATGGTCATTTTTATACCATTAATGAGAAATTTAAACAATATATATATTAACTATACATAATTCATACATTATTAAAAACCTATAGAAAAATATTTTAAAAATCAAATCAAATACACATCTTTAATTAGGATAAACTTTTTTGGGAAAGCACTTCATTAGAAATGATCCTTTTAAGAACTTATTCTAATTAAATTTAGCTGATAAAATATACCAAAATCTATACCCGCCAATTGATCATTATTTGAGTAACATTATTTACGAAAGACTATTTAGAGAATAATCTCAACTATATATGACCACGTATGTATTTAAAACTTATTGAGAACTGATTTGGAAAAACATCTTATTAGAGAGTACCATTTTGGAAATTTACTCTTTGGAAATTTAACAATTGATACGGTTCTTCACAGAAATGACTCATTTT